CAACATTTGGAGGCTTCCAAGATTGCTGCTTCTGCTGTGACATTGCTTGGCTACCAGGTCGAATCTGGAAGAAAAATAGTTATTTCAGCGACCCAGGCAGCTTGTGCTTCTGTTTCTCTCCTCCATGAGCTGGAGCTGTCAAAAATGGAGTCCAGCATTTGCAACCCACTGAACTCCATCTCAGGAGGAGAAAAACAGACTTGAAAGGACTAAATATTTGGGGAGTAAATCTTCCCAGGGGACTCACTTACTAATAACCATGTTGATGATATATGCTTCCTTTAAAAAAAAAAAAAAGAAGACAAATTGTACTTAGTTGAGCTGACAGTTTGCTTTTCCCAGCCCAATATCCTCCTAGTCAAATGCAAAGGAGAGCCAAGTCTCTGCTCTTTCTTTACTCAGTCTTATTCTGTCCCCAAACTCCTAAATCTGACGGTCCCATCTCTGCTTTTCTGGCCCTCTAACTTCTATGGTTTTCTCTTATGTTAGATGATTTGGGGTCTTTCTTTTGCAGGGATCCTCTTCCCTTCCCTTCTTTCTACCCCAAGCATCTCCTACCTGACTTTTCAACTCCCTGGGAAGAGACAAGAGGAGAGATCAGTACTGCCTTAGCAGGACTTGAGCTACATCCAAGTGTCTCTTCAGCCAGAAGTAGCCTTACCCTAGTGGAAGATGTGTGGACAAGTTATCCCAGGAGGAGTCTGGAGGCCTTGTGTTTCCAGGAAGTAAGAGGCTCTTGTATATATCCTCCAGCTGAAGCCTCCAGGCCACATGTCATTGGAGGACAACTACGGAGCGGATGATTGATCTGGATATTTCACAATTCCCAGTGCGAGACTTTCCCCACCCAAGACCTACATGTAGCTGGGATGGGGTTCAAAGGCATCTGCAGGTGAGTAAGTGAGCAGAAAGCTGGGGCCTTCAGGTTGGCCTACATAGAAGTGGGTATACTGGCTAAGTCTGGATGATGTCTTTGGGGGTTTGGGCGGGTTGCAGCTGCTGTTGAATTCTATGTAGGATTGAAGGGAAAAATCAGGTTCAACAACCCCCAGGGTCTGAGGAAGACCCTCCTTGTCTACTCCCCACCCATCATCCATGACTGTCAGCATCCCATTCCGTGTCATCACCTCTGTGGAGACTGGCCCAGTGCTCCAACTACATCTGAGTCCTTCATCCTCTGACCTTTATAGCTATATCTCACAGCCTTTACTATTGCTTTGGGTCACGTGACCAAGATACATATCCTATTTCATCTGTTAAACTGTTATTTGATGACAGGGACCTTGCCTTTATCACTTCTGCATTCCTAGAGCCTGATGTTGTCCCTGACACAAAGAAAATGCTCATTAGTATTTGTTGAAACAGTCTATGAGCCATTAGAAAAGACTTTGTGTTTCAGGAGAAAAAAAATAGGAAGAAAATAAAGCCCAACTCATTTTGTTTTGGGGATCAGACCTTGACTTCTTGTTTCCATCATTCTCCCCTAAGGCATTTGTGAACACCCCTTCATAAATACTACAGGGAACTCTGTGCATGGACCTCACCTTACACAATAGGCTGAGCAGAGGGTGAAAAGTAAAACCTTCACACACCTGCTGTCTCTTAAATGCAAAAGGGGAGCTCTTCTTGGAATTATCAAGGGACTTTCTGGAAAAGCCTTCCACAGAGTGAAAAGTTATTCACCTTTCATGAAAATTGAGATCATCATGTTTTGGCAGTGCTTAAATTGGGAACATTCTCATCTAAATACAGTCCCTCACCTCTAGATGCTTCCATCACAGAATTGCTCCTGGTGTGCACAGCTAAGTTAAAAGGCACTGATGGAACTCACTGCTGCTCAAGACAGCACCTCACCTGCCTCTGTATTCCTGATGCCTGACACATAGTAGCTATTCAGGAAACAGTTGGGTAAATAAAAAGATGAGCAATTACAAGGAACATTCTGACAGTAGGGGCAGTCCTCAAAGTACTTCAGATCATGTATAGGACAAAGGCGAGTAGGTTTGGGGTATGGGAAAGGATATGAAGACCAGGGTGGGAAATAGGACAAGGCCAGAAAAGGAGCAGATGTTGGATCCCAAAATCCAGCAGGGCAGGATCATCAGGTCTCAATTGCTTCATCTGGGAAAACTTTGAGATGCAGTTTGGATGGAGAAATAGAAGATCTTTGTGAGTGAAACAGCAGGTGGGAGAATGGTATGAAACCTCGCTCACCCTGTTAGAGCAGAGCCCTGGAGAGAGAGTGCCTGATTTAGACAGCCTCGGGGAAAGACCCCATCTTCCTTTACTTCCTTCTCCTTCTTCTCTCTCCTTCTCTTTCTCCTCTTTTCTTCCCTCAGACACCAGAAATAACTCTGATTGCACCTCAGAAGTTCTTCTCTTGCACTAAGCATTAGTAGGAAGGCAAAGTAACTTTGGTATCAATGCACCAGTTGCTCCTTTTCCCCACCCAAGACCTGCACCACTTAAACACATGCTTCAGAGGTACCTCACACATCACAATGCATTTCTTTGAGGCTAACTAGCAAGTACCCAACTCTTACTGTCTCTACCTAGGGCTCAGGGTTCTTTCTGGGGGCCCTACCCTAGGCAAACTACACTTCCTGCCTCCTCTATATCTCTCCCAGACCACCTCCCATAATAAATTGCCCACAAAAATTTCTAAGCCCCCTCCTTTTCAGTACAGTGAATTTCATCACATATAGGATGGTGTGTGTTCAGCATCTAGATTTGCCTAGCTCATAAAGTGAGCCCGTTTGAGGCCCCTCAACTGCACTGTCTTCCAGATAGGCTTATAAGTCCAGCCAGTTTTAAATCAGGACCACAGAAATGTAATGTTCTTATTCTAATCCCACTCCACTTCTCTTCCTGGTTCTGATTGTGTCTATGAGTATAATTCTGTGATTTGATATTTATTAAGTCCCAACTATGTACTGGATATAAGAAAGAATAAGATGTCTATATCATGTTTCAAAGCTTTCACTCTAGAGAGAATACAGACAAATTAATAGGTAACACAAGATTGTAAGTGAAAGATGGGTAAATAGGCTAATTGTAGTTGTAGATTGAGAACAGAACTAGTCCTTTTAAATGTACCAAATTAGAATGGTAGTTTCTCAAGTGATGTGGCTCCCACCATTATCAGAGTCCCAACCTGGTCTGAAGACAGGAGCCCATCTCTGAAAATAATCCCATCTCATTCCTGGTCTCTATTCATGAGACTGTTTCTCTGAGCAGCAGATATCTTCAGGTCCCCAGCCTCAAATGAAGTTGCTCGGCTTCCCAAGTGTCTCGGTTTCTCTTCAGTCAATTTCTTTCAGATATCCCAAATCATTTGGCTATTCCTGAAGTAACTCCTCAAATATATTTTTAAAATCTCTTTTATTTTGCTTTATGTTTTTAATGAATAATTGCCCTGTTAAATGTTCTTCCAGAACACTCTGATGTCTTCAGGGTGTTCTGGCTAAATTCCTTTAGCCAGCATTCAAGTCCCTGTGTATACTTGAACCTATCCCATCACTTCATGCTTAACTTCTGGAACTTCCTTTCATTGTCTCCTCCTCTGCTGAATGGATGGATTTATTGTATGGTGAACTGGCTTTTATCCTGTCTGATGTCTGTCTGTCTCTCCCTCTCTTTCTTCCTCCCTTTCCCTCTCTGTATCTTTGTCTTCCTCCTTTTATTTACTCAGCCTGCCTGCCTTCCTTTTCTTTCTTTCTTTCTCTTTCTTTCTTTCTT